GACTACTGCGGGCCATCGGCACACGCATCGATGTGCATATGTTTATTTCTGGCCCGCAGTAGCCAACTTCGGTCAACATCAGAATGGGTGACGGTGCGTGAGTTTCTTTGTTCGTGGCTTCCGGTTCTATCTCTGCCTCCGGAATAGGGCTGTCTCTCTGTGTCCCTGTCGCGTCCGATTTATATGTGTTTACTTGCATGCGTTGTGGCGTTGATGTCTTGCTTATATGTGTTTTCAATAGAAAAAATGTGAAAAAAATCGAGGACGAGGCACCGAGTTATATGTGTTTAGTTGCATGCGTTCTTGCGTTCTGGCGTTGATCTCTTGCTTACCACGGGCACCGAGTTGGAAACACACAACCGTTCCACGCCAGAGAAGTCAGACGGTGCGAAGGATGAGGAGGGGGGAAACGAGGGAGACGACAGCGGTCCTTCCTGCGGGCAGTCGCAAGACACTGACGAGGACGACAACAGCGACGGCAAATCGGCCAGCCAGAGTACCGACGAAGACCGGAGCGCCGCTTCGGAAGGAGATGATTCGCCATCTCCTTCGAGGACGCTGCGCAGCGAAGGAGAACGGCAGGCATGCAATGGCAGCGACACCGAGGAGCCTGTCGGTGACAGACAAATCGTGCAGCACGTGAGCGCCACTGGAAAAGGTAAAAAACCAGCGTCGCACTCGCTCCCCTCCCACTCACGAGCAGCTAATCCCGTGCCCCAACGGGGCGCAAGCCTTCACGCACGGAAAAGGGTTTTAGTGAACGCACTGTTGATAGCCGAATCTTCCAATTACCAAGTGCTGTATTCAAAACAAGGCGCCGAGTTGCTAACACTATCCTGTGCGTTGTGTCTTGTGTTTCCCTGCCCATCGCAACGTCAGGAACGAAAGTGCGCGCAAGGGGCATAGCCGCGCAAGGACCCAACGAGGAGGGCGTTGTATTAGCAAAGAAAATGAAGGGCAAGCTGTTGCGTTCCGTCGCCAAAGCCTTTGCGTTCTCTTCGGCGAACGACGCAACTTTGTACCCTACAGAGGAATCGTTTTTCGTTGCGGTGCAAGCGACGGCCAAACTGGCAGGGGGGACAGCAGAGGAAGGGCTGTGGTCTCACATTGCAGAGCGCGGGATTCGAGCTGTTATAGGGGAATGCAACAAAATTATGACGACGATCCGCGGAGACATTACCTGGCAGCTGAAGCATTGGTTCTGGGCAGAAAAAGGGATTCCGCTAGTCGGATCGCAGCAATCGGACCACCACCTCCCCGCTCGCAATAAGACGCGCGCCGAGATGAAAGAGAACAAGACAAGGAGACGGAGCGGCGACGATCCGTGGGGCGCCCCCGCCTTCAAGACGACACTCTTAAAAGTTTTCCAGATGAGGAAGGAAGGACGAAACCTCGACGTCACCCTGCAGCAACTCGCTTTCGGGGAGATGATCATTCATTGTGAGATAGAACAGACAACGAAGACGATACGAGCTGCGGAGCAGATAGAAAAATTGGTATCTATAAAGCAGGCAATCGTCTCATCTCTACGAGCGCGCGACACGGTAATGAGTTTTTCCGTCTTCAAGCTGGACAAATCCGTATCCGTGGCTGAGAAGGCAGCAACCCTCTTTCGCCGTGGCACGCCGTCTGTCGACAGGCCTGGCCTCCCAAGCACCACAATAACGGATGACGATTACGACGTCGAATACATTCTCTCTCAGAGTACACCAGCCGGCGGCGGGGGGGCGCGCACCGACAGTCTGTGCGCCGCACCCTGAAAAATTAGGGACAGTTTGGCTACATTTCGACATGGAAGGGAGGATGCTGGGCAATGACCAAACGGTGGAACGGAAGGTTCTTTTTGTAGACGTTTCGAATCAGGAGATGCAAAATGGAAGGGGACAGTCGGAGAGAGAGAGAGAGAGAGAGAGAGAGAGAGAGATGAAGACCTTCAGTTTTGCAGAAGAGAGAGAGAGCGAGTGCTTGCACGCACGTGCACCGCATGAGGATTGCGAGCCGTATGTTCCATAAAGTCTGATAACTACACAACTTCTGTTATTTATGATACACAATTGTACAAACATTTGTATTCCTCATCTTTGTGCGATTGAGAGGTGTGTGCGGCTGACTCTCTAATGGTAACACGACACGACAATGTGTTTTGTCAAGCTGTGGTAAAACTTGTTTGTTGCAGGGCAGGGCGACGTAAAATGAGGCTCCCCACGCTAAATCGCCTTATATAGAATGGGACACAACGATCTTAGGGGCACAGAAAAGGAAGGTTGGCTACTGCGTGCCAAAATGCGACGGACCCTGCGTTGTTTGACAACTTGTGGCCAGCACTAGTCAACCTTGTTTGTACGAGGGCAGCCCAGCATTTAATCGACGGTCTCCCACGTCTGCTCCGTACA